GATCTAGTGGCCTGTTACAAACTAGTCAGAGGGGATCAGCAGGCACTGGGGAAGTCCCTGTTCCCTCATGCACTACCAGGAGTGACCAGGAATAACGGTCACAAGCTGGCAGAGGGTAGATTTAGGCTAGATATCAGGAGGCGCTATTTCACGGTCAGGGCAGCTAGGATCTGGAACCAACTTCCAAGGGAAGTGGTGCTTGCTCCTACCCTGGGGGTCTTTAAGAGGAGGCTAGATGTACACCTTGCTGGGGTCGTTTGACCCCAGTACTCTTTCCTGCCACAGCAGGGGGTTGGACTCAATGATCTGCTCAGGTCCTTTCCAACCCTAGAAACTATGAAACTATGAAGTCTAGCTTCTGCAGCAGTGAGCAGCGACTGCCCAAATTTTCAAATGTCTCCAAAGCTTTCCAAATCTTTTCCAGATTAATTTGGAGGCTTCAAATTGATTCAGATCTTTTTATCGGTTTCCTGATTCGATTTAGATTCAGAGATTTGGCTGCTGAATCTCCTCCGAATTGAATCACCACCCAGAGCTTCGCACAGCCCTAATGCCCAATGCCTCTCTCTTCTGGCCTTGCACACTAGGATGATGCACTAGATACAGCACACTGGGCCCAGGGCTCCCCATGGGTCTGGAGTTTTGGCAGCAGGGGAATAGTGGCACTGCTCCCCTACCACCAAATTTCTAGACCCTTAGGGAGTCCCATGGGCCAGATGACACAGCACTATGGGCCAGAGGTTGCTAGTGAGCACATAGTCCCACCTTTTCTAGAGGCATTGTGTCTGCTCCTGTATTCTGTGCTTTGCAGATAATGTCTCTAGCCACCATCCTAGTCAGGCTGTGTATCTTCCAGGACTTTAATGTGTGCTTTTCACAACCAACCAAAGAATTACTTTACTGGACTTAATGGTTCATAAATTACACTTTTAAAATTCATAAAATAATTAATAGGGTGTGCCATTTTTCTGACGTTTAATTAAGTTTTACCCAGGAGGGAGCATGGTAATGTATGTTGAGCATATTTAAATGAATGCTTGGTAAAGAATTATGAAAAGGAAACTTTTCCCCCCCCAAGCACCAAACCAAAGCTCATGCTAAAGTTCAATGAAACTCCTTCACACACTTAGTAAAGTTAGCTCATACACCTGTTAGTGGAAGGGAGGTTTTGGACAAGAGGTTTTGGCCTGCTGAAAGAAAATGTCAACTGGATAAACATTTTCTATGTGATTTAACTAAAATACCTTTCATAAGCAGAATCCTTAAGTAGTTTCCCTTCTGGCGAATTAAGGTAACCTGTTCAAATTATCCATAGGATTTCAGAAAATTCTCCATTCTGCCCTTGCTTTCTCCCTTCTGCAGCTTTGACTGCACATGAAAGAATTTGACTTCTTGTTTATGCTGTTGACTCTCAGGCTCTTGATCCAAGCAAAACATTTGGTAAGCAACAAAAGGAAGACTAGGATGAAGGATAAGACAGCACTGATTAGTCACTACTGTAGGCATACTAAGCTTATCAGAAGCAAAACCACTTTTTTTTCCCTTTTGGTTTGGCTTGAAGCATCCCTGCTTTAGTGAAATATGGAAATTTCCTTATGATTAAATTGTAGGCTGCAGGGTTTTTAAGAAATTATAAATAGGGATGCTATTAGGCATCATTTTAACTTAGCCTTTCAAGTTGCTAAAGATTCAGCTTTATCCTATGACTGTACCCCACAATTAGCACAGCTTATTTCAAAAGAAAAAAGGGTTTTCAAAGAGTTATTAAAGTGATTTTTAAAACAAAAGATGCTAGGACCAAATCAGCATATTTCTGTTATCTTTAATTCTGTTTCTTAACACTAAAATGACATGGAAAGAAAGACTGAATATCTGAATGCATATGAATATGTATTAGAACCTCTAGGTTTGCTGAAAATTGCTGAGTAAGTATTTTGCATATTTCTGAAACACACAGGCTCTGAAGGAGAACGCCTCTGCAACTATAGGTTTACTAGGGTCTAGACAATGATTTCGCAAATAGGGGCTTCCAGCTACATGCAGTTCTCTGGGCAAATTCAGCTAAGGGAGCTTAATGGTGGGACTAAGTTCCTGGAGATTCAAATGACTCTAATAGCCTCTTGCTTGAGTATTGCTTTATAGGTGTCCCGACCCCTCTGTTGCCTGGGGTTTAAATGAAAATTCTGTGTTTTATTTGTTAAAATTATGACTTGGAGATGTTTTTTGAGCCAGGTATAACCTTAGAAAGAAAAGCTCTTGATACTTGTAGGATTATCTATGGGTATTATTGTTGTATATGGCAGAAGGGATGGTATATGGAACGCTTTCATGAGGATGAATACAGCACTGGCAGTGGAAAGAAATATTGAAAATTTACATCTATGTTATTGCCTGTTACCTGTTATTGCCTTGTTCAATCTTATTTTACCCAGTCCAATGAATTTCTTGACTAATCTGATTCACATTTTACTCTAGATTTCATCACTGATGTACCAGTTATTCTAACCAAGTTTTCATGATCTGTCTGCATACCTTTTTTGCCCATGCATTTGTTGTGTTTCTCCTTCTGAGCTGAATTGAACTAAACTATCTTTTGGAGCTGCCAGTAATGCCTTGAAATCCTTTGGTTTGAACTTCTAATACTAAGAAGAAGGATATCTGAGTAGGCACAGCAAAGGAGAACCCAAGTCTAGAAAACAGAATGTATTGTGTTTGACACTCTAAACTTCTCCAGTGGGCAGCTGTAGCTTAATGAAATTCTTTCCTGGCTTTAGTTTATTTTTTAAACCAGTGCTGGTGAAGGCCCTAAGCTAAACACATTTGAGACTGAAGAACTGTTTTAATCCAGATCCACATTCATCACAGGCAGCAGTTGGTTGAAAGGATTTCAACCAACTCTTAAGGGAGGAGCAAATTATTGACTATACATGTCATATTCAACCAGCCCAAATAACTTGTCTGAGCGCTGTTCAAGAGAGCCACCTAGGGAACATGGTGGACAATTAATACTGAACATTAATACCATTAGTAGGTCTTGGCAACTGGAGAAGCTCTTGAAAACTGGATATAAAGGATGGGTAATAATAGGCCTCTCAGCCTGACATTGATCCTTGGCAAACTAATGGAGCAACTGATACAATTAATAAAGAATTGACACAGTTAATAAAGAATTAAAGGGGAATGCATGATGAATGCCAATCAATATTGATTTATAGGAAACAGAACTTTTCAAACTTGAGTGATGTCGTCTTTAATTAGATTATAGATTTGTTTGAAAATGGTAACAGGTTTGAGGTAATACACTAATATTCTGTAATGCAAGTTTTTGATTAAACAAGTAGACTGATAAAAAACCAACATAGTGTACATAACGTTGACTAAAAACTAAGTGAAACATCTCAAAATTTAATTTTATACAAATGCAACCTTTGCTTGTTTAATAATGGGATTTAAAATAGAAGTAGAGGGGTTGCGGCACTTTCATAGTGTCTATTTTGTGACTATTTCTGAAATATTTTGTCTACTGTTGGTGTTGCCAATTCAAAAAGGATGTTGGTAAGTGAAGAAAGTTCAGAGAAGAACCATGAGAATGATTAAAGGTGTGGAAAACATGCCTTGCAGTGAAGAACTCCAACTGAAATCTGTTTCAGTTAGCAAAGAGGATATATGTGGATTACAGAAATTTCATTAAATAGAGATCTTCAGTCAAGATGTCAAAATTATAGCAAGATCAAATGACTATAAATTTGATAATCACTGTCAATTTATGAATTTATGAATGATAAAGAGACAGAATAGTTCTCAGGAATTTGATAAATATCTTGAAAAGTATGGTATCCTAAAATGAATCTGAAGACCACTGAGTACAGAAATGCATTAATTCCTCACAAAAATAATCTCTGCTAATTTCAGCACACTTGCTTTATAATGTGGATTTTTTCAAATTATGAAAGTTAGTTGGCACTATATGCATGGGACTCATTTACCAGATTAGCGTCCTGAATTAGAAACTGATTAATAGACTGAGAAAAAGAGGTTATTCCATATTATATAGAATATTCCATGGGTTCAAGGTTATTGTAAAAGATTGGAATTAAAAGCAACCCAAGTTGTTCTCAGCTTTACAGGAATCAGCTATATCTTTTTAGTAAATTGCATGGTGCTCAGACTCTGTCTTTGAAAGTGTATCCCAGTTTTATGAGCTTACTAAACACAGGCAAGGAATGTGTTTAGGCTTTTGTTACTATAATGGTAGTTACACTATTTGTGATGCAGCTGGGAATATATAATAATACTTCTTTTATAAAGGCTCTCAAAAATTGCTGGGTTGCTCAGTGGGCCACTGTTGCTGGAGACAAGTACAAAGCAAGGCACAAATACTTTTGAGCTTACTAGAGGGATAATGGTTACCTGATCACCAGTTTTACAAGTACAGGAAACAAAGATACATGCTTGTGGTTTGGAAAGAAGGCTCTCAGAAGAGACTGAGAGTACGACCAAGGTAGGTTTTTCTGTGTCTGGTAATTTTTCATGACTTAGTGGACTGTAATATTGGGGTAATGGCAAAAGTGGTGATACTTCACATACATATCATACATAGATCATTCTATAGACTCTTGCCTTAATAATGGCTCTGGAATATTGGTAGTTTCAGAGATTGAAGATCACAATGAAGCTTTGTCCATCAGTAATGAAGCTGAACTATCCAATAACTTACCTGGTGATGACCTGGATGAATGCATACTCTATCCTGGAGACCTCTGTCAGCATCTGTGTATCAACACTGTAGGATCCTACAAGTGTTCGTGTTTCCCAAGATATACACTGCAAGATGATGGGCTCAGCTGTCTGCCAGGTAAGTAAAATGGACAAGAGACAGCTAAAGAAAAGCTGTTCCACATGTGACTGTATAGGGTCTTGGCTTTGCTTTGCTTTGTCTTTATTGATCTGAGTTTTCTTTCACTGCTTGTTTAGTCTTATTCTATCTCAGAAACAGATGGACTTTTTCAATGGAAGCAGGAATGCGTAACAGTTAAGTGGGATCATTTGCAGCATCCCCAACAATAGGCTTGCCACAGTTTTCCCTGGAAGACTCTTCTGCACTCTTTACAGAGCTCATAGGCATGAAGTATTTCCTAATTTTGATTACATGTTCCGAAGACAGGGATCTTCCATTACCTATTCAGGAAGATTTCCATTATTAAGGAGAGTTGTTTATTTAGTTTTAGATTACTTAGGAAATTCTAGTCATTGATCCTACAGTTTCCTGTGTTGGGTTTCCTTCATACAAGTTTTAATAATTCCTTTCCATTCTGGAACAATTTCTTATAAACTTAGTAATTTTGGTAATTTGTATTTATTAGAAAAAAAATGAAAAATAAAAGCAAATGTTTTTAGAGTAGCATTTTCAAAAGGTCACAAAATAGTTTGGTACTGTTAGGCTCTTTTTAAAATGCTAGCATGAAATTTTAAGTCTAATTGACTGTGCTTGAAAGGGTTTTTTCTAATTTCTTTTGGTTATTATTCAAGTATAGGAAATTTGCATTTATTAATATAAAGATGAGTGCCTATTTAGGAGACTGTTGTTTTATTCCATGTAAATATCAAGGGCATAAGATCTAGGTACATATTTAATTTGTTTTATTTTTTTGTAATAAGGGATTTATAATTATCTATTTTGAGAGTCGTGTGAGTTATTTTGCATGTCATGGTTAGTTTTCCAGTTGAAATTGATAATCTTTATTCAGCACATAGTATTGCTTCCTGAACTTTAATTTTAACTGAAATCATTGACCTCTGCCTAGAGAGACATAGTTGTCTAATGTGATGGGAGGCTTAAAAGAAAATTTCTTGTGTTGTAATTGTTTGGATGTCTGGAATTCTCCATTGGCAGGCATTCAAATCTGATAATATGAAAAATGTAAAGCATAGGTTAGTTACAACTGCTTTTAATTTCAGCGTTCCTTAATTACTTAATGAGCAAAAGAGATGTTGCCTTCCAGTGACAAAATTCTTTAGGCTCCAAGTACAGTCTGCCAGACATGGATAATGAGCTCTTATTATATCATTCCTCTAACCACAATTCTCAAAAAAGTTACATCACTAATGTATTTGACAATGTTCTTGAGGCACCAGTCTACAATTTTGTTTACATTGTGTGAAGCACCTGATCCCAAGGAGGTACAAAAACAGTTCTGTACTTGAATCTCACCAGAGTTGGCTCACTGTCTTACCTGGAGCCAAGTAACTGTTGATTTTGTTTTTAATCTTGCCACCAACGCCATAAGGAAAAGTGGGGAGATTCTCTTTTTAGGGATTTTGTATAATTTTTCCAGACAGTTTGAAAGACTGCTATACTTATAGGTACATCAAGTATATGTTGATCTAGATAGAATTAGTATCCATTTTGCAGTTCTTATTTCTATCATTTAATATTTTTACCATTTAATATTTTCCCCAGTGCATAGTAAACTAATTATGTGTATCTGTCTGTCCATGGCCCAAAAAGTTTCCAATAATTTTATTGAAGTATGGATAGCCACACTGAACTCTAGGTCAGGTTCAGCAAACTTTTGCCACCATGGGCTGCAGTGGGGAGCCAGCCCTGGAGTAGGAACCCAACTGTGAGTGATGAGCTGGCAGTTAAAAGACCAAGGGGACAGAGAGCAGGGAGCTGGATTTGGAGCTGGGAAAGGAGCAGTTTGTGGCCAGGAGGCAGACTAGAACCTAGATGAGCTTACTTTTTAGAGGGGCAACAGTTAAAAGGACCTCTTCACCCACCTGAAGAAAGGCTAAAAGTTTTGTTTAACTGCTTATTTATTTGTTTGGGGCAAAATTATTGGTTGCATTTATGAGGACAGGCTGAGGGGCTCCCAAGGGAACAAAGTTAGTTTCATGGCAGCAGGCACACCAACATACTTACCGTTCTGTTTCTGGCAGAGGTTTAATTGGTGAGGCCTGAGTTCAGCACTTCAGCTTTCTTGGCTTATCCCCAGTGGCAGGAAACCACTGGAACAGACGCTTGTTTGTGCTTTATCTTATGTCCCAGTTAGTTTTCCCAGTTTTCGAAAATATCCTCTATCCTCATGAAGTTCCTCTGTAGCTCTTCCTTCCTAGTGTCCTGTGGCCTATTACATGCCTGTGCATTTTTTCTAAATTGGAAAATCTGTATGTGGAATCAGAACTAGTCCTCCTTTATTGCCATGTGCTCATTTAATACCCTGGCCTCATATGTCCTAAAGAAGTCAGTGGAAATTGTACGTTAGTTTCTGATGGCAGGATTTGACCTAGTGAATGTAAACACACGTTTTGATGACAGAAATCAGATTCCTCTTGATAGAACATCGCATCATGTGTTTAGATCTAATTTAATTTTTTTTAAAGTTGTATTGGAAATCTTAAATGATAATGTCAACTGTCAAACTACCTTGCCTGTTTGGATGCCACTCTCTTGCCTGTTGCACTGTAATAGGATGTACAGTATATGTTTAAATACTGTTTGTATTTTTCATATCTCAATTATGAGATTTACTCTGAAAATTAAGATATAACCACTGTCTTCACGGTGGGGCAGAATTTTAAAATTTCAAATCATTAATGCTTATTATTTGATTCATTAGATTTTAACAGAGAGAAGATATATCTGACCCTATGGAAAGCTGTTTTCAGCTGTCTACCTTAGTCTGTGCCTACAGACCTTATAAGCAAATCCCTTTGCTTGTACAGTAAACTCTGATCATCATTATGGCTTAATTTGCCATTGTTCTTCCCAGTGCTCTCTCCTCCCACCCACTGCCATTATGAACTCCTGATAATTGGCCACTATTGGATAATTAACCATTTTTTACATTCTGCTTGGAGTGGTGAGTTAATCAGAGTTTACTATAGCCCTCTCCATATGTATGGAAGTTACATAAACAGTTGCTTGAGTAAAGTACATCTTGAGCTCAGATATGTAAGTTAATCACTGCATACTTATTATATGAGCTGGTATTGAGGCCATCTGAAATCATGTCTGTATGGATTACAGAAAGCAGTACGACAGAATGAAGGGTTCGAACTGGAATTGCTACTTCCAGGCTTTAAAGGATTCGATGTAGTCTAATTCATCTTGGATTTCCTTTCTTTGCATACGTTTACAGATCCCGATGAAGGACAAACCACTGGCTTAGCAGAGGAAACTACTGTTGCTTCAGAAATGTCTCAGGCCCAGCCTGCCATTATTGATATTTTACCAGAAGAACCAGATAAGTGTAAAGGTATGTCTGATAGACAAGATGTAGACACAGGCATGTTAAGAATGTTTACAAGGATGGAATTACATTCCAAGCCTCCTTTCACTAGCCTCATTTCAGTGCACATCTATATATTAGTTACCTCTGGCATTAGCCTGAAGAGCCTGGGCAATTGTCATGGGGAATGTGTTGAGGTAATTTGAGGTTAGTCTGATTTCAAGGTTATTACATGCTTGCTATTTAGTTTAGTTTAAGCAGCACAGCTGTGCAGTATAATTTAAATGATACAGGTGTGCTGAAGTACAATAAAAGGATTGTAAATAGTGATTAAGGTTACTAGAGCAGACTGTTTGTCTATGCATTTATATCTGTTTACCATCACTGGAATTATAGCTGGATGAACAGAGCTGCAGATCTTTAATGATATTCGCTTTGAATGTTAATATGTTTGAAACTTTTCTTTTTCTAGATAATGGCCCCTGCAAGCACATTTGCAGTGTTGTCGAAGGGAATGTTGTGTGTTCTTGTCTATCTGGATATGCTATCACGGCTGATAAGGTTTCCTGTGAAGGTGAGAAGGTGTTTAAAGTTTACCAGCCAGATAATTAAGTAATGGATCCCACTGGTATTAGGAGCCTCAATGGATCTTTTGCTAACGATTCATTATTTTTGATATTGCTAGTAATAAGTAGCAGTTCAAAGCAAACTTTGCTGCATCTAAAACCAGGCTGAGGCAGGGGTACACATCTGTGGGTGTACCTTGGAGAAAATCCGTACAGTATCCCTTATGTCATTTGAAAAATTATGTGGCTTGTTATTTCCACTATGGTGCTCAAGGGCTCATGTACATGCCACAATTTTTGCCCTTTTATGCACTGCAACTGTGTGTCTGTTTGCACGAGCGGGATTTCCCAGCACTTTAAAAGTCTTTCTTGTGCATTAAACTAAAACTCCTCAGAGGTGCTCAAAGATGTGTAATGAGCCTCTTTGTCCACCAGATGGACACTCCTTTTTTGTAGCTTACCCCTTCAAATTGCTTTCACTTTTTTTTTTTTTTCTTGTGTAGCTTTTTCTTTTTTTCTTGTTTGCCAGCTCCCTGCTTCCACAGCTGCATAGCAGGGCATGGACATGGGATGGGGGGAGGGCAGTGCTGGAGCATCCCACTTTCCTTCGGTGCCAGCCAGGGACCCGGCTTAATTTGTTTGAAAACCTAGTGTGTGTAAACATAGATGCAATGCTTCAAAATAAACAAGCTTAAATTTTATAAACCTATTTAGTTTAATGAGGATTAAAACATGTAGTGTGTACAGGCACCCTAAAATTCCACTCTCTGATTCAGTGCACGATTATTTTAGCTAAGATAGCTTCTTACTGTTACTGGCATGTTTTCACTGAGGATAACATTCTGTGCAAAACCTCCTGTTTTGCCTAAAGCATGTATGGAGTTTTGTGGACTGCATAGCTACAGCCTGCACATTGCTTGCCTGACGCTGGAGTGGGGAGGAGGACCCCAGGCAAAAGCAGGCTGAGGCCTGGGGCCCATGATCTATGATAGCATGAAGTCCTGCAGTGGAGTTGTCAAGTGGCAGAAGCTATCATTTCAGCCTGTGAATTAGAGCTGAAGCTGCAGAACTCTGCTAGAGGTGATTTACATTGTCCTTTTTTAATTTCACCATGGGAGTCAATAATAAAGTCTTCATTTATAAATGACTGAAATGGATGTCAGTATAATGGTCCAAATGCTAAGGGAAAATCTCTGAATATTCCCCTTAGTTTTTAAATAAAATTTCTCCAGCCAGACTTTATACCTCTTTTGTGTATCCTTTCCTTGATCATTTAAAGGGTATGTTTCACTGACAGTTGGCCCACGTCTTCAGCTGGTATCAATCAGTAGAGCCCAATGGACTTCAATCTGCAGAAACTGAAGACTGGGCCTAGATATTTACAAGTAGCACATTTCAGTGCTGCATCATTATCATTCACAACCTTTGAATTTTAAATTTGCATGTTTAAATATTCACCTGGGAATTGGTCACCCTTTCTTCCAACCAGAGAATAGAAACAACGTCCTGTGTATTATCTTTAATTATAAAGTAGTGATTATTATCTAACTCGTCACAACTAACCAAGTAAACTCAAATAGCAATTTCTGAATGCTCACAGAAAATTGTTAGTAATTAGCCCATCACATTAAGAAATCTAAATAAACCCCTTTCCAATGTTATTGAATATGAAATAAATTTAATGAAACCTAGGTATTTCATGAATAAAACAAGTCATTAAAATCATAGGATAAATCATTTGTTATAAATTACTCGCTTTAAATGTGGTCATGATAGACTTGTTCCATCCATGTCAGTATTAATATAGGTATCTCCAGGCAGCTGTTTTTTGTACAGGTGAGAAAACTTGGGATGTTAATTGTATCTTTTATAGTGGGCATAATACTCTGTTTAAAATAGTATGATATGGAGATGGTAGCACCAAAGCACTTTAATTGACTCCAACATGAAAAAAATATTTGATCATTTCAGAAATCATTCTAATAGAATTCTGTTTTTCCCTTTTGGTTGCAACATGTTGATGTAGATTTGGATGAGTGCCTTATAGGTACTCACATTTGTTCCAGAAGACAATTGTGTGTGAACACATTGGGATCATTCAGCTGTGTCAGCCACAGAGTATTCTGTGCAGAGGGCTTTATACTCAACAGGCATAGAAAATGTGTTGGTAAGATGATAGGTGTAAATCATTCACTGTAGCGTTCTACTTCTTCATGCTATGCAATGCATTTAAACCATTCGTGCTAAAAGGCTCTCTGGTCATCTTTGCCTATGACATTTTAATGTGAGTTAGCAAAAACACATTTGCACCATTTGTTTGACTGTTTTTAACATCATGCATTCTACGCTACTTGGCTTTTTCTATAGCAGTATATTATCAAGATGCATATAATGCAAGTTCATAGTTACGATGACCACAGGAATACAGAAAATTAAGCTATTCTGAATGAGAACAGGGATTGACCAGTGTGGAGATGTGAATTCTGCTGCTCAGTTTGGGCTTTAGTAAAAGGACACTGTAAATGGACCTCATGAAATTTGCACAAGTCCAGGGGAAATACTTTCCAAAAGGCTGAAATGTAACTCTGATTAGCCCTTCCATGGTTGTGCCACTGATTTTCTAAGAATAAAAGTTAAAGATGTACTAACATCTTCTTATGGTGTCTCACTGGGTAATAGTTTTATGTGGGACAGTAATCAATTTTTACCAGTATTCATTTAATTTATTAGAGAGTTGCTGTCTTACAAGATTAGGGCCTACATTTTCAAAAGTGACCAGAGACAGCTTGTAGGCTTGGTTTTCAGAAGTGTATGTAGAGCAGTAGGGTTGAGAGAGACCTTGAAGGTTGTCTAGCCAAGTCCCTGTCCAAAAAATAGATCCTCTCTTTCTCAGCCATTCTAGACAGATTCCTGTCCAGCCTCTTCTTGAAAACCTTTAGTGAAGGTGATTCCACAGTACTAAGGGTGACATTCTGTTCCTTTCTGGATCACCTAATTGTTTGGGTTGGGTCATCTATATGGTATTTTTGTCATCTAAGTCCCCAAAATGGCATTTTACTTACAGGTTATAATTCTGCCTCTAGGCACTTAGCCCTGCATGTAGATGACTATGCACAATTAGGACACTCACCTGGGAAAGTGTAAGTCCAGATTGTTGGACATTATATGTGAAATATATTTGTGGCTCATTTGCTATATTGTCATGCCATAAATTGGCTTTTATGTAGGTCAAGGTTACTATTTGTGGTGCGATTAACACCCCAATCATGTCTTAAACGTAACATGTGCCAAGGCCTTGAGGCAACCAGCAACTAAGAGACTGTCATGCTAACGCTATGAAAACTAGACACTTTTAAATTGTCTCAAGTAGAACTCCTTAAAACAGGAGTCCAAGAAATTAATAATTTCACCTGAACGTCAATCCCACCTGTGGCTATAATGTCATTTGTGGCTGTATCATTCTTTTCTGACTGCCCTGTACTCTAATTGATAGTGTCATTCATTGAGCTAATCACATGTAGTCCACTAGTATCACAGCTACACTGCTTTCCTTTCCTTTCCACCAGTGCTCTGTGTGCTGTAAGGAAGCTAGCAGGAAAATTGTCCCTAGACAGAAGCATGTTCTTAAGAGCAGGTTAGGAAATGTTTGTCTAGAATGAAGTAGGCAGGGATGAACCTGCAGGGGGTGAGACTAGATGACCCTGAGGGTTACCTCCCAGCTCTACTCTTCTATGGGCATTCATTTGTCTGCTCTGATGGACTGGAGATGCAGCACATTAATTGAGTCTGCTCTGCATGCAAACTGACACACCCAGCACTGCATCGCATGCATTTGTGTAAATGGTGAAATGCGCATGAGAGCTGAGAAAATGGAGGCAGTGCACTTTTGAACTAAAACACCTTTGATGTGTTTTAGTTCAAA